TTAAACGATACTCTAACTTGTTAAACTGCAAACTACCATTTAAGAAAGCATTTGTTATCCATTATTAACACGTGTTGATAATGGGTAACAAATGCTTACTCAAATGGTAGTTTGTGTGTGTGTGTACACACACACACAGATATATAACAATATAAAAACAACTAAAGCTCAGAGAAATATAGAGGAAACTCCTACATTATTGCGTCATAGTAAATTGTTTACTATAAAATGTAAAATGAGAGTATGTTCAGATAATTTTCCTGACAGAGCACTATCGTTTAAAAATCGATATTTTTTGTTTAACTTAGGCTACAATGCTTAAAAACTGTGTAATGTAAATAATGCAAATTTTTCAAACATTGATCCATCAAATTAGGTTAAATTTAATGTTAAGCGTTGTATTATAATAGAGCATCAAGAATTAAAAAAGGAAATTGATAACTTAAAAAAAGAACTTCAGCACGAAATTAAAAAAAATAAAGATTTATTTGAAAAATTAACTTCAACCACATCAGTTATTACTATGAAACAAATTTGTATATAAACATAATCCAAAGAAATCGTGTTATTGCAATTTACTTGTATACAAACATTTATTTTAAAAATGATAGATTTTGCGACTTTTATACTGGCTTTACATCTGTCAATGTGTTTCATCAGTTAGTGCAGTATCACCATTAATCAAAAGAAGATAAAGTGATATTAAAAAAATATCTACTGCTGTTTTTTGAAATTTAAAAAAACCCTTAACTACTTGGACCAAAGTATATGTTATGCAGCAAAGATGAATTTTTAATGATGCTAATACTTGGATAACTGACAACTGATCTTGCTGACAGGTTAAATATATCTTTAGGATCAGCAAATGCAATATTTTCTTCATGGTTGAAAGCTTCTAGCTCACTTTTTAGCTTCTAGCTCACTTTTTAAAGCAAATGGTTTTTGTTCCAAGTAAAGATGTTATAACACAAGCAATGCAAAACAGATTTAAGAAATTAAATTATATAGATTTACACTAAATTTCAGATATAACAGAGTTTATTATGAAAACACCTAAAAGTTTTGACTTACAGAAACTAACAAGGAGCGAATACAAACATTACAACAATATAAAAACTTTAGTACCCTTAGCTCAGAATTCATCAATAATTTCTTTAAATAATTTCTAAGGCTTACAGAAGCTAAATTTTGGATAAAGAAATTACAAATCATAACAAATGTTTAGATTGTATTCTAAAATACTTTTGTATAATGTATGATTAAGGGTTTAATATTAGCACTAAATGTTCTGAACGATACATCTACCACATAGTTCCCTCTGGTTGGAAAGGTGCAGCTCAAATGAGTTGATAAATGACAATGAAAAATAAAGAATTAAAAAAAAATTAGAAAGAAATTGTTAATTTAAGGATATCGGTTGAACAAGTTATTAGAAGGCCAAAGATTTTATTGTACTATATATGTTATATTATTGTTACTATATAAATTGTACTATATTATTATTGTACTATATATAATAACGTTTCTTTACGTTTATACTTCTACTTCTGCGCGCATAAATTTTATATCGGAACTGTGAAAAGGTGAATTGATTTCTATACAGCCAACATTTTTGTCAAGAAGTTAGAACTTAGTTGTATGGTTGAAAATAGTATGTCAGGGTTGGGGATAAGACTAATAAAAGTTTTACAAAACAATTATGAAAAAAAATTAGTTGTAAAAACACATAAAACAGGTCATGGTCTTGTCCATCTGTGAGTTCTTTTTATCACATTTGATATAAACATAAATGAACAACTAAATGTTTATTAAAAAGAAAATGATAACTATTAAGTATTAAAAAGAAAATGATGAGTTAAATAAAACAAAAAAAACCAAAACAAATATACTTATGAAATTTTTCAATAAATTAAATGCAAACATTAAATTTTTAAAATTTAACTCAGTACTCACAACATTGTTTATTTTTATGTAGTCATGGTTACATCAAAAAACATCACCAGACCACACTGGATACCATCTGACTTATATACTGGCTTTTTTCTCATCTCTTGAACATAAATCCAGTTATATATGTATAATTGGCTGGTTCTGTAAACAAATAGTAATATTTTTGAGTTAAAAACTTAGTTACATTAAAGACATTTACTCATTTTGCAGTAAATAATTATTAATATTATTCATTTACACATTTGCTTGTTCTTTAGTTGGTTTTCAATAAGTATGGTATAGTATTTACCTTTTTAGGAGTTAATTGTACTATATTATATATTTAGGTTTTGTAACAACTAGAGGTTGCATATTTATGTAATTAAGCTGCAAATGAAACAAAATAATGAAACAAAATAATGATACTTCTTAAAACATTTTAAACATTTTTACATTTGTTGTTTGTTAAACAATGAACCGCATTGTTTTTTTTTAGCATAAATATTGAGTTGACCATTAAGAAATGCTGCAGTTAAAGCTAATAATATTTTTGTTAAAGGATCTAATTTTATCTAAAGTTTGACTTTGAAAGTCAAACTTCAGATCAAATTATGATTTCTAAATATGGTGTAGAAATTTTGGAGTGAATTTTCAGCAGTAGAAACTACTCAACCACAATATTATCTTTATTAGTAATGTTCAACCCAGATGTTTCTGATCATTTGGTAATAGAGCATGGAAGACAGCCATACATAATAAAACTTGATATAAAAGCCAGGTGCTCGCAATATTATTTGACAACCAATTACCCCAATATTTCAGGTTTGTGGCCAAAGTTTGGATTCTGCTTTTAAACTTTTTTGTTAAACAGTTAATGAGCTTAATAAGTTAATTGGACTTCTTCTATTAGCTGGAGTGTTCCATTCTAAAAACAAAAATACATATTTTGGGCTTCAATGCAAAGAGATTGATTTGTTAACTTGCGACAATGCATTCGATTTGATGAAAGAAAAACTAGTAATCAAAGGCGCTTTCAAGACAAATTTGCAATATAATGGAGATGTTACTTAAGTAATATAATGGAGATGTTTTATACTAAATGTAAAAGCATGGCCATTTACAATGTTTTGTAATATATTGAATATTGCAGCTTACAGCGCTTTTGTTTATTCTTGTCAATCCACCGAAATTATAAAAATGGAGCTTCACATAGAAGAAGAGAATTTTTAATAGAATTATTAAAGTCTTTTTCAAAAATTAGATGCAAATACAGGCTTGGTCGGGAAGTGGGTGCGATCGCACTCAATAACTGACCACGGAAATAATATTTAGTTGTGAAAAACCGGCCAGATTTTTTAGTCGTTTTGAGAACATTTAAGTTTATATATGCAGGCCTTGCGATAAAGCGTCGGGCGATGTGAATTTTACGTCGTCCAAGAGCGATTTTGCGTGTAGCTAGGGCTATTTGCGTCGAGCAAAAAAATTTTTGTTTGAGTATATTTAAAGATATTTTTGAGCGGAATTTTAATGAAGTAATTTATGATTATTTTAACATTTAATAAAGTAATTTAAAACCCGCACGCAGTTGAAATAAAAGTTTGAATTAAAAAAAATTAAATATGCTCATTATTTACAAGTAGAAAAAATTCAGATTAAAAAAAAAGTTTAAATCTTTTACGCTAACATTTTAATAAAATTATTCAGCAATAGCAAAGTTGTCGATAAAATTGAACAAAAATACTTTCTTTTAGTTTTAGATTTTAAACTTAAATAATTATTTTACGGGGGTTTGTTAGGTTTTAAAATTATTCCATAGATTTAAAATTATTTATTAGCTGTTAGACGTATTTAAAGTATTTAAGAGTAATTTCGAGGAAACATTTTAAAAATTGGTGAGAGCAAATAAAGAAAAAAAAGGATTAATATTAAAACGTATTCTACTTGATTCAATAAAAAAGTACAGTTATTAAAATTTTTGTAAAAAGTAACTCAAAAAAATTACTTAAATAATAGCGATCGCTTTTATGTTAAAAGTTACCGTAACTCAACGAAGCGTGCTCAAGAACAGCTGCTGAAAAATAAAACGTCAATAGTTTTTCGAATAATTTTTAATAATAATTTTTAAGAATAATTTTTTCGCTGAAATATTTCTTTTTTACCTATAAGATTTTTATTCTAACAATTTTTTTTTTTTTACTAGAAATAAAATTCCTTGTTAACATTAAAAATCTATTCAAAACGTTCGTTTAAGTTTTTTATTATTACGAGTGATTGTGCTTATCAACCGCTTTATGAAAATAAATAAAAATAAATAAATATTATATAAAATCGCTTATAAAAATATTAGCTGTTGCACAGTTTTAATCGTACAATATTAAAATTTCCAGTTTTTAAAAAGAAAAAATAATTAATTGAAAAAAAAAAAATCAAATATTAGCATATTTTATAATCTTTTTTAAATTTAAGTTATGTTTTTTATTCGTTTAGTATAGACAAAACGTGACAAACGTCGAGAAAATAAACAAATGTCTTTACATTTTAAAAAACGAAACATTCCAAAACATTTTTAAATAATAACATTTCTACATAAACGATTTAAAGTAGTTTTGCGGTAATTAAGTAAATTGGTGCAGTTAATGTCGATAAATATGAAAAGCAAATAAAAAGAATTTAATGACGTCAAAAATCACGTCGTGCTTATGCGTCGCGCAGTTCTTATTCATTGCAAGGCCTGATATGTTTCCTTTTTTGTCCGCAAAATTCATTTTATCGTAAATTTTAAAATTTTTTGTTTTACGGACTTACATGGAAACATACATAAACTTGAATGTTTTCAAACATCTTGGTGCAGAAAAATAAAAAAAGAATATTTGCAAACACAAAAAACCCGCCAAATCTACGGACAGCTAATTCTATTGGTTAAAAAATACTGAAATTTCTAGAGTATTCAAAAAATACTAACTGAATGTCCTGAGTATTCTGTTGAAATATTTAAAAAAATTGTATTTTTTGAATTTTGTTGCGTTTTTGTTGAAATTTCTAGCATAAATTATTTTAAGAATATACTATCAAACAAACTATTATTTTAATTCTTGGAGCCACATCTACAAAGCTATAAATGTTTTAAACTAACATTATTTGCTTACAATAATAAATGTTTTAAATTTATATTTTTTAACTTGTCAACGATTTGTAAATATATTATAGATTTTATTAGTATATTCTTATTTTTTATATATAAGGGATATATTTTTTATGTATGTAATGTATTTTTATTTATGTAATTTTATGTATGTGTATTTTATTCAAATGTAATCTTTTAAAGCAATTTGTGCTATTGAAACAAAAATACTTTCAATAATAACTGCGTTTTCAATGAAATTATTAATAATCGTCAAAATTAATACAGAAAATTTTAACCACTAATCCATTTTCCTCATCTTTCCCGATAACTGATTCTTTCTCCCAAGAAAGAAAAGTTATTAAGTTCTTAGAAATTGTTTTACTAACTTCAATTATTTTTGCTTCAGCCATTCTTACAAACTCGTTATGCTTAAAGTTACTTTTTATGTTTTAAATACTAATTAAAATTATAAAGCCCACTCACTAAACATCACCAACGGTATTTGAAGCAGTTCCGCTTCCTCCTCACAAAGTAATTTAACGTTATTTGTTAATTTCTATCTAGCTAATTGAATTTCTACAGTAACTCAATGATATAATTATTTCATTTGTTTATCTTACTAAGAAGAATTGTTTCAAATGTGTTCAACTTTTTAAACTATGCGAAGCATAAAACAGTTATTGAAAAAACGTTTTTATTTATAAATAAATCATCTGGTTGAATCTTGTTGGACTTTTCAGGGCCGGGGGCTGCATTATTTTGGCAGCCTTTTTATGTGCCACAGCGTAAAAATGATCTAAAAAAATACCAAATAGTCCTCTTGACTATTTCCCCTAACACTGTGAGTCCCGGGCTATAGCCCTACTACCCCCACCTCACCTCCTCAATCCAGCACTGGAAATAAGACATAAGTATATAAATAAAAATTATATATACTCTTTGATAAATCGAAGAACATTTGTTTCTTTATATTTGTCACTTTATATAAAAAATGTCGCTTAATTTTATAAAAAAAAGTTATAAAAGAGCGACGTTTCAAAAATAATTGCTTTAATAAATTTATTATGCTTAAAGTTTTTTCGCGTTAAAAGCTATTTTTCTTTTTTTAACTGTCTCTCATCAGTCCAGTTAATTTTAATGCACTTTTTTGTTTGTTTTTGAAATGTTCTCAAAACAACTAAAAAATCTGGCGGTTTTTCGCAACTAAATAAAATTTCCGTGGTCAATTATCGAGTGCGATCGCACCCGCTTCCCGACCAAGCCTGCAAATAACAACCTTTCCTGAATAGTTGCCAATAGTAATCTTCTGCTAATAGTTCCACAAAACAACCTACTTAATCAAGCTCAACCAATTTCAGAGAAGCACATTAAAAGATGTTATATGTGTCCTCATGTTTACAACAAAAAAACTCACCTGCAATGTGTAGCATGCAATCATTATGTTTGCAAGGCTCATAGCAAAAATTGTTTGCAATAGTTGTTTTATTTAGAAGATATAATTGTGTTGTTTTGAATTAACTGTTATAATAATATCAATTTTGTTAAAAAATGTAGAGAAACATGATATTTTGTTGTAAGCATGCAATCGATCTTAAAAAGGTTAAAATATTTCTGGATAAAAAGCCAGATTTTTAGATGGGCTAGTTTAATACCACAGCCTTAACATAACCTTTTTTAGCGTCCTTTAGGGTTTAAAAAAGCGTTTAAAAAGTTTAAAATTTTCTTTTAAATTAAAAAAATTAAAAAAAAAAATTTCTTAATTTTAGTACTTCTTTTTTTTTAAATATCTTTACTTCTGACAAGGCTGCAAGCAACCAATATTAGAGTTGAAAGTTACTGGAAGAGAAAAGATGAAGTTATAAAGCAAGGTAACAATTAACAAATGACTTAGAAGATTGCAAATCATATGAATCAGGTAAACAAGATGAAGGAGCAAATTCTAAATAACTGATGTTCAAAGAAAAAAACTAGACAAATAAGAATTTTTTGAGAACTTAGGAACAGTCAAAGTAAAAGAATGAGACTTAATTGAACAACTAGTTCAATTAAGGACAATAACAGGAGGTTAGGTTTACCACTCTTTTTATATATATTTTTTCACCACTTTTTTTTTTTTAAATTAACATCATATGAGGTTAAAATCCATTAAATTTCATAAAGATTTTTTTTTTAGTCTATATTTTATGCTACAAGTGTCACTTGGATTGTAGCTGTCATATCGATTTTTTTTTTTCATATTATTTCAATATATGTTTTTTCAATATAATGTATATATTGAAAGTCTAGAAAGTCTAGAAAGAAACACACATGATTTTTAGCAATAACTATGAAGCAAACTATGATTGTCTATTTTCGATAACTTTATTACATTCTCCCAAAAAATCTGTACTCAGAATTTTGCTCTATTCAGAAATTATCCTTTTCCGGATGTTTCCGGAATTCCAGATATTTTTTCAACTTTTAGTTTTTCCGAATATCCAAAACATTTTCTATACATACAAGTTTAGGTATACATTTTTGTAATATATTTGTTTTTTAAGCTTTTTCACTCATCACTCATAGAAAAATATAAAAAAGTTTGAAGAAAAAAAATTGAAACAACTCAGCTAAAACCAAAATAAAGGAAAATATATTTCAGATTTTTTCAGGATATTTATCCAAACAATATTCTGCATTTTTAAAGTATGACCTGGATGACCTATATCTAATACAAAATTTATGCTTCCAATAATTCCAATAATAATAGACAAACAACAAAAATAAATTTATGCTTCCAATAATTTTCATAGTAAATAGACAGTAAACAACAAAAATAGATTTATGCTTCCAATAATTTTCATAGTAAATAGACAGTAAACAACAAAAATAAATTTATGCTTCCAATAGTTTTCATAGTAAATAGACAGTAAACAACAAAAATAAATTTATGCTTCCATTAATTTTCATAGTAAAATAGGCAGTAAACAGCAAAAAATAAATTTATGTTTCCATTAATTTTCATAGTAAATAGGCAGTAAACAGCAAAAAATAAATTTATGCTTCCAATAATTTTCATAGTAAATAGACAGTAAACAACAAAAAATAAATTTATGCTTCCAATAATTTTTATAGTAAATAGACAGTAAACAACAAAAAATAAATTTATGCTTCTATTAATTTTCATAGTAAATAGGCAGTAAACAACAAAAATAAATTTTTATTGAAAGTTCAAACTTTTGATGTTTTATCAATTTTTATTATTTTATTAATTTAATATTTAATAATTTAAAATTAATAAAATAAGTACATGAACAAGTTTTTTGAAATTCAAATTTCATATAAGTACCTTTTGCAACTTTTTAATGTTGATTAGGGACATCGTTTTTTTGGGCCGCTGTTTATCTGTTTTTACCATTTTTACTATATTTATTTACCATTTTCAGTGCACTTTGTTTTTCTTATTAAGCTTTTTTTTGTAAACTTTAAAATATTTTCACTATTAAATTGGATTTAAAAGTTTTTAACATTAGTGTAAAATGTTGCTTGAAGATAAATATTGAACTTGAATTTGTAAAAAAATATTATAATAAAGTTTTTTTAGGAAGAAAATAAATTCTTTTTAATATAAATATTTTGTGTTATTTTTATAATCTTATATTTATTTTGCGTAAAGAAAGATTTATTTTACTTTTAATTGTTTTTTTTTATTTAAGGGTATTGTATCAGGTGTGTTTTTAATTACAAAACAAACAGTAATGTTCAACCCAGATGTTTCTGATCATTTGGTAATAGAGCATGGAAGACAGCCCTACATAATAAAACTTGATATAAAAGCCATCAGAAAAATTTCTTTTTATGAAGATATTGCAGATATGGTTACTGATAATATTAAAATGCAGTTGTAAATATTTTAAAATAGTTTTGAAGTATTTAAACTATGAAAGTGATAATTCAAATTTTTTTTCTCAATATAAAACAATGATGTTTAATAATGTGTTAATATTCTTTTAGTTTGCCTTCTAAATGTCTGAATTTAAATAACTTAGACCCAGGCTTACATACTTATCCAGGAGTAATTGTATGTGAAGAAACTGGTAAAGAATTTAGTTTAGCTGCTATGCATAAAACATATAGTAAAGATAATTCTATACAAGATGATTTGCAAGTTAATTGTGTTGAGACCAATACTCAAAATCAAAATACAGATGATGTGCATTCTGAGGGTAAAATTCAAGATTCTGAAGATGCGCACATGCATCAGGGTTCATCAGTATTAAAAGTATGTTCTTCCCACAATGATTCAATTCTAATGGAAGATAGAAATTTATCAAGCACACCAAAACATTCTTTAAAACAAGAAGGTATTGAAATTCAATTTAAACATATATCTGAAGATTCAAGCAAAAATCAAATCGAACTTTTATCATCTGGAAAATCTGTTGATGATCACAAACACTTTATTAATCTTGAAAAAAGTTCATTAGTTTCTGTGAAATCAGGGGAAACCTCCCCTGATTCTGCTTATTTAACTGCTCAAAGCATTTCAAGCACCGAAATTTCTGATACAGAGAAACTTTATCCTGTATTAACAAATCAGAATTTTAATATAAATAAAAGAAATATTGACTTAAGTAAAGATAGTGGAATATCTGATATGCACCATTATAGCAGCCAAGTTAGCCAAGATGCACACCATTTGTTGCAAACCACTTCATCTATAATCAATGAAGCTCATGAATCTAAAGATTCATATGCTGATTCACTTTTTGATTCTCATACAGAACTTCAACCTCATGATGGTGAGTGATTTTATTTGTATTTAAAAAATTGATATTGATTTATTCCTGTTTATGTGTGTCAGATTTTGGGTTTTGTGGAGTTTTGTGAAATTTTAAGGTTAAATTATTTGGGTTATAAAAAATTCAAATTGACACAAATGTGGTTTCTTAAAATGTTATAATAATTGTATAATTTATTTTTTACAGCATTTAGCTCAATCTAAACCTAACAAGTTTAAATTTGGCAGATTTTAAACTCTCTCTCTACCTAACTGGATGCTTTTAAACTCCATGTTTCTCCTTCTTTTCCTTCCCATGCTTCTCCTAAATTATGAGTAGATACTTTCCCGCCCACACTAGATAATTTTTATCTTAATTTATAATAAAATAAAAAATGTAATAAATAAAAGTATTCTATAAAGAAAAATAATCTATAAATATTCTTACTAAATAATTGATCTGGTCATATAATTTACTAACTATTTACTTGACTAAAAGACAGGCAAATGGCTACCATGACCTGTAAAATGATTAATGGTAAAGTTATTCTACTCACTCTACAATTTACAAGCTATACAATAATAAACCCAACAATTTGTTCTTTATAACAAATTGTTATTACAGAACAATCTTTTTATTACAGAACAACTCAATATTACAGAACAAACTCGATATTACAGAACAAACTCGATATTACAGAACAAACTCGATATTACAGAACAAACTCGATATTACAGAACAAACTTGATATTACAGAACAAACTCAATATTACAGAACAAACTCGATATTACAGAACAAACTATTTGCTAAAAATCAAAATTATGTCTTTCAAAAATTTGACTGAAGACGCATGAAGATTTATTTGACCTGAATTTGAATGAAGATTTATGCACTTGGAATCATTTAAATTATTTTAAACAGCTGAAGTTTAATAAAACTTTGTTCTTGTTGAATCTATTGAATACATTATGAATTATATTATTATTTAATGCTGTAGCTGATGGAAATACCAGCAAGCTCAGTGTAATTAAGGCAATTTATAAGTTATTTGAATTCTTTTATTTGGAAATAGCATAAATTTTGTTAGCATATTATGTCCAAACAAAAGCTTTAGATGCTATAATTTTTATTTTTTTAAAAACTTTTTTCTTACCCCTAATTGTGAATCTAAAGAACAGCATTTTTGATTCTTTAGATCAATTTCAACAGCATTAACTTAATTTTAGTTGAAATTTTTTGAAAAAGAGCCTTAATATACTATAGATCTTAGCTCTTATTGGTTCTAGCTTAATTTACTATAGATCCTAGCTCTAAATGGTTCTAGCACATATTAATTTAATGTAATTGTCAAAATGCAACATTTCTATCAATTTTCACAAAAGGTTTTAGAATTCCGACCTAGAAAGCGCTTTTAATTAAGAAAAATTGCCATTAAATGATCAGAATAGATCATATTATTTGACTACTATGTTCATTTCACCTAAAAAGCGATTATTTAAAATTTTATTCAAATTTGAACAAAATTTAAAAAAAAAAAAAAGAATTTTAGGTCTGGTTTTTTTTGCTACCAACATTTTTATTTTGTTACGGTAAAATTTATCATTTTAATTTTTTTGACTTTTCATGATTCACAGGCTTAATCATTTAATGGAAATATGTTGTAGTCAACAAAATATTAGATAGGCTACTTATTAAAAATCGCCTTAACTATACTGAGAGTGTAAATTTGACACTTTGACAGCCTTTTCATGTTTTAATTGAAGTTTTCTTTTATTTGTTTTAATTCGTTCAGGTTTTTTTCTTTTGTAATCATATGTTTTTGAATTCTTTTAAAGATTTTGCATTGACAGCTTCTTCTGACAATAGGTTCCATAATGTTGCAACTCTATTTGTTAAAATGTCAAACTCCACTATTAATAATATCTCTGTCGTATTTAAACCTGTGATCTCTGGTATTTAAATTTTCAAACAACAGTGGATTGATAAGCTAAACTTTATCTATTCCTGTAAATATTTTAAACATTGTATCATATCTCCTCTTCGTCTTCTTTTCTCCAGAGTTGTTAAATTAAGTTTAGCAAGTCGATCTTCATACGATATAAACAAACAATTTTATACACATATTGACATTATTGTTTTTCCATTTTCATTTCAATTGATTTTGATAAGTTTATTACCTACCATTTTCAAAAGTTATGTTTTATAAATAAATGTATTTTTTTTCCCTTATGTCCCATATCATGCTAGGTTTGTTTTATTTTACAGTTGATTTTTATTATATAAAAAAATTATTTTTATTTATGTTTTGGTTTGTTTAGTAATACTTGTTGTATTTTTTTGTTCATTTTTTCATTTCAATGTTTTGTGTTTTATTTTGTATATTGTTTATGTGTCTATTTTTCTTTTTCTATTAAGCGCTGTTTTTGTCTTTCTAACTCTCTAATCTTTTACTAAAGATAAAACTTTCTGAAATTATACAGTTTGATTTTCTTTTTTTAAGCCTGTCCATGATTAAATGTTAAACTTAAGGAAAGTTGCTTTTTAGAAACAAGTCCTGACTAGTTTCTAGATAAGTTCGCAAACAATTTATATGAAATTACAAAACAACGAATGTCAACAAATCTTAGGCATACCTTTTAAAGCAGAAAGTGAGAATCTGAACAATAAAGAATGTATTATGAAGTAAATATTTCAGTTTACAAAATTGTCTAGTTAAAATTTTATTACAGTTTACAGGCCTTCTTTTAAAGCGTTAAGCTGCCGGCAATTTACGTACGAATTATGTAAGTCTAGATCGATTTTCATTAAGCAACTTTTGATATTTTTTTAACTTTTAAATTGCTCTATTGAGCGGGAAGATAAAAGAAGTAATTAATTTTACAAAAAACCATTTTAATGATTATGTTAAAAAGTTTATAAGACAATTATGTTTTATACATATGTATATATATAAATATATATATACATATAAATATGTGTGTGTTTGTGTATATAAATATATATATATATATATATATATATATATATATATATATATATATATATATATATATATATATATATATTTAGTAGAAAATCACTTAACAAAAATGTATATATATTTTTTTTAATTTTAATGCCTTTAAAAAATAAAAAAATAAAGAGAATTTTATGACATCAAATTCACATTAAGCTAATGCAACCCCACCTCGCTATGCCACTGATAAACAAGGTCTGAGTTTATCAGTGGCGTAGCAAGGTGGATCAAAGGGGAAGTTGCCCCGGGCGCAAAGATTTAATCACGTGCAAAGTTATCAAATTATCTTTTTCTGTTAAATATAAAGAATTTTATGCCATAAATAAATAAAAAAAATTTAGAAATTCTTTTTTTCTCTACAAAAGAACAAAACTGCAACTTAATGGTTTTTCTGTAATTAAATTGCTTATTGTGCGATACGTTTTAATATAAAAATCGCATGTACTGTATTTTATAAAATTTTTATAAAAGTATTGTAAAAGTTATTTTTAAAGATATTACTTAATTTTTAAAATTAATATAATTATATTAAATAAATATTAAAAATTGAATAAAAATTGTTAGATCTGACTTCAATTCAAGTTTAATACATGATTCCACTAACTCTAAGTTTACCGAACAACTTCATGGAATACATTTTTTGAGTAAATGAAGAAAAAAATTAAAAATATCAGGGGGCTAAATATGCTTTAAAGTACAATAAACGGTATAACAATACTTTATTTTTAAACTCCTAAAATTATTTGGATGACGTATAACAATGTGTTTTTCTTTAAATGTTTAAAACTATATTTTTGTTTACTACATACGTTAGATTACATTAAAAACGCGAAATATAATAATTCTCTATATAAAGTACAAATATAGTACAAATATAGTATTTATTAATAATAAACTAGAATATTATTAACATCTTAGCTCACCCCCATTTTTACAGAAATCTGGAAACAAAAATAAAATTAACAGTGTTTTAGGTTTTTGAAAGTTAATGGAGATTTGATATTATTTTTGTGAAAGTGTATTGTTCGTTATATGTAATATGTATAGTATATTATATTCCTATCTATATTGTATTAAAAAACATTTCAACCGAGGGGCGTGACATTTTTTTACACTTGAAGGAAAATAAACATTTCTTCATTGTTTTATAGCAAAAACTCATCCAAAAATAATATGGGGTTGTCCAAATTGTATAAAAAGTTAAAAAAGTTATATCCCTAATAAATATATATATATATATATATATATATATATATATATATATATATATATATATATATATATATATATATATATATATATATATATGTATGTATATATATATATATATGTATATATATATATATATATATATATATATATATATATATATATATATATATATATATATATATATATATATATTTAAAAAAACTCTGATTCAATCTGGTAACCGATTCCCACATCCATCTTCAATTATAATTGAATAATTATCCAATTATATAAATTTTTAGCAGTTCCAACGCTAACACATGGTCTGGAGCTCTGTGAAAATAGAAGGTTAACAATGCAAAGACTTTATAAAATTAGAAGAAATGCAGTTAAGTCTTTTTTTAATGTATCCAAGTATAGCAAAAACCATATTAACTCTCTCATTAAAGTTTGCGAGATATTAATGTACATACAACAGAATAAAATAAACTTATTTATCCGTCTATTTTATAATAAAGTAACTTTTGAAATCCTCAATTCCCTATTGTTCAGTAAAACATTTATTTTTAGATAATATAAAGGAATTATGTAAGATCCATTAACTAAATATAAAAACTTCAGTTTAACTAAATATAAAAAATTCAGTTTAAGAAGAAAGTCAAAATTAAAATTTCAGAAAATATACTTCCTTAAGATACTTATCAAGTTCTAGTTTTTAAATATATATATATATATATATATATATATATATATATATATATATATATATATATATATATATATATATATATATATATATATATATAATAAATATATATATATACATATACATATATATATGTATATATATATGTATGTATGTATGTATGTATGTATGTATGTATGTATGTATGCATGTATATATATATATATATATATATATATATATATATATATATATATATATATATATATATATATATATATATATATATATATATGT